GTGGGGCTGGGTAAAGGGTCGGGGCCGGGTTAGGGATATCAGGGTGGGGCTGGGTAAAGGGGCGGGGCCGGGTCAGGGTTATCAGGGCAGGGCTGGGGAAGGGGGCGGGGCCGGGCTAATCACAGTGGGGCCGGGTAAGGGGGCGGGGCCGGGTTAGGGATATCAGGGTGGGGCTGGGTAAAGGGGCAGGGCCGGGTTATCAGGATGGGGCTGGGTAAAGGGTTGGGGCCGGGTTAGGTATATCTGGGCAGGGTCGGGTAAAGGAGCAGGGCCAGGTTAGGTATATTTGGGCGGGGCCAGGTAAAGGGGCAGGGCCGGGTTAAGGTTATCAGGGTTAAGGTTATCAGGGTCAGGGTTAAGGTTAGTGGTGATTAGCAGGGCACAGAGGCAGCAGCATTGGAGGGGGAGGGGCTGCACCAGGCAGCTCTTGTCGTTAGCCCCTCCCCCTCTGGCCGGGGGGCCGGTCCATGGGCTCAGAGGAAGCGGCGTTTCCTCCGCTCACAAAGGCAGGAAGCCGGAGGCGAGGGGGGGGGGGCATGGCTCTTCCAGGCTGGATGGGAAATCAGGGGAAATATGGCCAGGGGAGAGCGCCCCCTGCCCCCCCGCTGAGCCCCCCAGCGCCCAGCCCCACCAGCCACAGGAGAGTGCCCGTTCCCGCTGGCCAGAGGAGAGCGCCCCCTGCCGAGCCCCCCCCGGTGCCCCCCAGCGCCCAGCCCTAACTCCTGGGCAAATCTCACAGCTCTGCCCCCCCAGCTCCGGACGCAGCTGGCTGCGGAGGGGAAGGGCGGCGCTGGGAAGGGAAGCTGCGGGACGGCAGGCGATGAGGGGCTGCTCAGGGAAGGGGGAAAGGCCTGATACACGCTCCCTCCCTCCCTCGGGGCAGGCGTCAGGGCAGGGACTGAGCTGGGCCCCCCAGGGGAAAGGCCCGTGCAGCCCCGCTGGGCAGGGAGCTCGGTCCCCGCCCGCAGCCCAGGCACAGCGAGAAACCGGCCCTGGCCTCTGCTAGGGAAAAAGTGAGGCTCTGACCCACCAGCCCCACCCCGCTCCCAGAGCTGGGAGAGAACCCAGGCGTCCTGGCTCCCTGCTCTCACCCACCAGCCCCCACTACCCTCCCAGAACCCAGGAGTCCTGGCTCCCAGCCCCCGCTGCTCTCACCCACCAGCCCCCGCTCCCTTCCCCGACCCCAGCAGAGAACCCAGGAGTCCTGTATTGGGGAGAAGAATCCCCTGCTGGAAAAAAATGCAGGAGCAGGAGGTTAAAGTCCAGCTTTATTGTCCCTGTTTCCCAGCTCCCCCCCACCCCCTTCACAGCCCCTGGACACCCCGACAACAGCACGTCCGCTGCACTATGTGTGTGTGGGGGGAAGTGTTAGAACAGTGAAAAAACAACATACACACACACCCTGCACGGGACCCAGCATCGGCAAGTGAGGATCACTGTGACCGTCTGGCACCTGGACACACACACACACACGGCACATCCCCTCCAGCAGGGACACATGCACACAGAGAGACACACGCCAGGGTTCCTCTCCTCCAGGGACACACACATGGAGGCACACGGAGACACCCACGGGACAGCTCCTCCAGCAGGGACGGACGGACACCGTTCTTTCCTGTCTCCCAGGTCTCTGCTCCAAACCCACCACAACACAATCTGGTTTTCAGGCCGGGAACCCTACTGGGAACTGGTTTTAGAGTTGCCAACTAGCCCCAGTTCCAATCCAGTTGTTCAAAACCCATGAGCAAGTGGCTGGACGTGGTTCAGGTCAGCGTTAAGTCTCGGGGTGACATTCCAGAGCAGGCATTGGGGTGAGGTCTGATGGGGAAGTGTCCTGATTCCACTTCTGGAGCTGCAAGTTCTAGACTCCAACATGGTAGTCTAACTGGCTTTAGAACCAAAAGATACCAGCAAGGCAGGCGAATGGGCTCTGGATCCTTGTTCTAGAGCCCCAGGTTCCAGACCTGGCACTGGAGATCACTCGACCCACTTCGAGATCTGCAGGTTCTAGACTCTGGCATGATTATTACTCTCCTTATGGCTCTAGATCCAATGGTCCAAACAAGATGGGCATTCTCTATCTTTGTTGTATAGCCAGGGAGGTTCCAAACCTGGCCCACGTGGCTTTTAAACGATAATGCTCAAGCAATACGGTTCTAGGTAGGGTGGATCACCAATCCTAGCTACAGGTTCCAGACCTGGCACTGGAGAATCCTGAACATGCTTCTAGGGCTGCAGGTTCTAGGTTCCACCCTAGTAGATTGGCAGCTTTAGAACCCAAAGGTCTAAACAAGGCAGGTAAGTGATCCTGGTTCCAGAACTGCTGTTCCACACCTGGCACTGGCTAATGGGGATTCCTTCACCCAGATCTAAAACTGCAGGATCTAGATTGTGGAATGGTAGCTCAGTGTCTTATAACTCTCATTGTGGCTTTAGATCAAAAGAAGGCAGTTAATATAGGTCCTCTGTCTTTGTTTTAGAGATGCATATTCCAGACCTGGTTCTGTAGATTCCTTAATCCACTTCTAGAACTGCAGGTTCTAGACTCCACATTGGTGGTTTCTAACTCTTGTTATGGGTCTAGAACTACTGGCTCAAACAAGGCAGGCAATTGTTGGTTCCATAGCTTCAGGTTCCAGATCTGGCATGTGGTTTTGAAATGGTAGTTCTGGTGCAATCAGATTCTAGGTGCAGCTGATCTCCCCATTCTAGAGACCCAGATTTCAGACATGGCATTAGCATTCAAGATTTCTTAATCTGCCTCTATAGCTGCACATTCTATGCTCCAGCGTGATCGTTTACTGGCTTAATATTCTCCTAATTGAACCTCTAGAACCAAATGTCCAAACAAGGTAGTTGGTGCAGGTCCCAGGTTCACGTTCTGATGGTTCTACAATGGCTCTGGGGCACAGCTGAATTCTAGAGGTCCAGGTTCAAGACCTGGCATGGCATTCAAGCTCCCATCTGTAGAGTGAAGAGTTCTAGGCTCCAGCATGACCTCAATGGTTTTATTTTCCTTGTAGTTCCAGAACCGAAAGTCCAAACAAGGAAGTTAATTGCAGCTTCTGGGTCCCTATTCGAGAGCTGCAGGTTCCAGACCTGGCTCCAGAGCACAGATCCCAGAAAAGGCAGGTCTAGATTCAGCCCTGCAGGTTCTAGCGTCCTGCCAAGGCCTAGGTTAGCCACACATCCCCTGGTAACCCCACCGACGCCTAGATTAGCCACGGGGCTTATGGGGGGTGGCAGGGGCTACGTGGGGTAACGCTGGAAACTGCCATCCTCTTCCTCATATTCAGAGGCCGGCGGCGTGAAGAAGCAGCCTGGGGAGGACGTGGGCGTCTGGCCGCGCCCGTCAGGGGCTCCGGGGGTCGCTGGCGATCCCTCAGCCAGCCCCAGTTCCCTCTCAAAGTCCAGCAGCTGCCCCATGAAGTTGAAGTTGGGCGAGATGTCGGCCTTCTTGCGCTTGACCAGGTCGTAGGCATCGTTGAGTGACAGGTTGAGGCGCTGCATGAGGTAGGCCACCGTCACCGTCACCGAGCGGCTCACACCCGCCAGGCAGTGAACAAGGATGCCGCAGTTCTGGGACACCGCCTCGTCTGGGGAGGGGAAGAGACGGGGATGGAGCAGAGGGGGATGCTAAGGTCGTTAGCAGCGCCTTGAAGTCAGAGAACTGCATGGACTAGCTCCGCTGGGCTCTCCAGTCCCTGGGGGAGGACGGGGGGAAGGGACGGACCATGGTCAGTGAGATGGAGAGGGGGCTCATGGGGTGGGATGGGAACCATGGTCAACTGAGGCAGAGGGTGGGGAGGAAGGGGGATGGAACGTACCATAGTCACTGGTCCATAGGGAGTCGGGGGACTGGAGATGGGAAGGACCATGGTCTCTGACATACAGGGACGGGGCAGGACAGACCACGGTCAATGAGGTATGGGGGCAATGGACGGGATGGACCACGGTCTCTGAGGTATGGGGGCAGGGGGAACAAGGAGCAGATGGACAGACCACAGCCAATGCGATGCAGAGGGGGCTGATGGGATTGCAGGGAACCAAAGT